CAAAAGGAAGCGTTGAACTTATTTGGTGGAATGCAGTCGTTCATAATATATCATTGACGCAGTATTAGGCAGACTGGATGGGGAGTTAGAAATCACCATGGCAAACGGACCAATCAAAATTAAGAATGGGCTAGGACGAGAAATTCCACAAAATTTCTAGCGGAGAGAAGTTTGTGTGATTTTTTTACTTAAGGGATGTTAAAATGACATAGAAATATTTCAGCAAGATCAAGGATCAATTGCCAATTTTCGCTCTAAATCAAGTAAGCAAACGAAATTCAGCTTTAATGCATAAATCTATAAAATTTCGTGTTTTAAAAATCTCCAGCGATCGCATACAGTAAAAACATGATAAAACAACTAGCCGAATATGTTATTTGATTTATATTCTTCTTATGGCGAAGAACCATGTCCAGAATTTAACAAATTAACATATTCAACACATTAACGCATTAGTATGATCGAGAAAAAATATGAAGACCTGCACCTCTTCGAACTAATACTTACTAAATACTGTTTTAACTTTTTGTTGAAATCTCTGATTAAGACATACTTTCTTCGAAATGTCACACCGTGGGATATTTTGACAGATATTGTTTTACTGCATCACATTCCTTTGACATCAATCTAGATTCGCGGTAAATCTCAATCACGTTGGGTGTATATACTGTATATAGCTGTAAGTGTTGTCCTTTTTATCTCACACCTACTTCTTATCTCTTTTTCATGTTAAATTTTTTCATAATGCTTTTTGCGTTCGATCCAAGCATAATATTAAGAGACAATTTTACTTAATCACATTAGCATCAGTTCCGTCTTGGGTGCACCCAGATATCATGATCTCTAGACTTATAAGCCCAGTGCGCAGTTTGCGTCATGCACGTCTGGATCCATATTTTAATTAGCATTTGACTTTACATATAGCTTTATTTCTTTATTGTTCGTCCTATGGATTTAATCCATTTCCTACAAAACCTTTCAACTTCTCTTATGTTAACGCAATAAGGAACAGCCGTCAGTAAGGAATGCTAAATTAGATTTCGAAATATTCGACGCATTTTAAATTAGGACGTTTCATTAACGAAATAGCAGTTAATCTGTAATTTCCTGAAACCCCCATGTATATTGATTTAGTCATTCTACTTTAAGAACGCATGGTTTGTTACGGATGGCTTTCCTACTTTGGTTAATTTTTATAGCATAGACAACTTTGGACATTATGCCCCAGTAGCAGCGTGTCGATGACTGCAATTTTTTCCTAGTGTACTCTCTACCATTATCTGTCGAGTGCATAATTTTTGACAAGTTGACCGAGTTTTGGGTTTTCAGAGCGTTCTTTTTTGATATACTATGCCTTTTTCATCTATATTCGCTTTGGGCCATGCCCGGAATGCTTGTTATTTTCCCTCAAACATCATCATTTTGGTATTCCATGTACCTCTAGAAG